TCCAATAACTTAGACGAACTGTCACCACGAGTTCAAAGACTGAGAATGAGATTAATGAGATACTCTTTCACCATCTCACATGTTCCGGGCAAACACATAGCAACTGCAGACGTGCTGTCCAGAGCACCAGAAAGGATGGTTTGTGACGAGACATTAGGGGCCGAAATAGACCTGTATGCACACCAGGTGATTTCAGGCCTTCCTGCAATTGAGAAGAAACTACAGGAAATAAGAGAGCAGCAAGACAAACACGAAACACTAAAACAAATCAAACTCTACTGCAAGAACGGCTGGCCAGACAAACTCAAAATACCAGGTCCGTGTTTCCCATATCACCAGCATGCAGGAGACCTGACTGTCGAAAATGATCCCCTCCTAAAAGGTATGCGTATAGTTATTCCAAAGAGATTACAGAAAGATGTTTTGACACGACTGCACACAGGTCAACAGGGCATTGTAAAGTCCAGGGAGCGAGCCAAGCAGTCGGTATGGTGGCCAGGACTGAGCTCTCAACTACAACAGCTGGTAGCAGATTGTGAGACGTGTGCAAAGGTAAGACAGCAACCCAGAGAAACACTTATGCCAACTGAGTTTCCTACACGGCCGTGGGAGTTAGTTGGTGCTGATCTTTTTGAGTGGAGTAACAGCCAGTATTTGGTTGCAGTGGACTATTACTCACGGTACATAGAAATAGCTAAGCTGTCCTCTACCACATCAGCTGCAGTGATTGACCATTTAAAGTCCATATTCGCACGCCACGGCATACAAACAGAGTTAAGGTCGGATAATGGCCCACAATTCTCCTCAGAACACTTTCAAAAGAGATTCCCTCAGAGCAATGGTGAGGCTGAACGAGCTGTGAGAACTGTAAAGAGCCTTCTACAGAAAGAAGGAGACCGATATCTCGCTCTTATGGCATATCGCGCCACACCACTTGCCAATGGATATAGCCCTGCAGAGCTTCTGATGGGGAGGAAACTTCGTACCACAGTTCCCATACTTCCATCCTGCCTCAACCCAGGCTGGACAGATACCGCTAAACTGAGAGAGAGAGAAGGGAAGGAGAGAGAAAAACAGTGGATATGGTTAAACAACAGACACAGAGCACAAGACCTCACTGGACTACACCCAGGAGATCAAGTTTGGATCACAGACATGAAAACAAATGGGACTATATCAGGCAGAGCAGATACGCCACGGTCTTACCTTGTTGAGACCCCAAAGGGGCGTCTTCATCGAAACAGGAGCCATCTCATCACCCTAAAAGGGACCAAGACTGAACCAATTGAACAACAAGTCCCTGTCCTGCCAGAGAACAGCAGCAGCCCTGTTTAAAACCAGGTTCAGCAGTGTCTTATACCACCATGTGACCAGACTACTGAAAGAAGATATCCTACAAGAGAAAGAGACCCACCGAGGTACCTTAAGGACCTTGATTTAGGTAGAAGGTACCCTCGAGCACCTGAGTGACCAGCCCGGGGCAGAATAATCCCCTCACTCAGTTGAAGGACGGGGTTGTCTCCCCCCCCCCCCCCCCCCTTCATAGTTAGAATAAGTTCACACAGTTAAATAAAATAATAGTTAAAAGTAAAAGCAACAAATGTTTGTTACAGATTTGAGTTAAGATAACAGCTTTGGAGTACCTAGCTACAAGTTAAGTTGCAGTAATTTTAGTATTGACATTAAAGTGGATAATGCAGAAAATCACGGGTTACAATGTACTCAGAAGGGGGTATGTCATGGTAAGGACTAATTCAATCATTCATGCAGCACCCCCTGGTGGTTGTTCCGTGTGTGTGTTGGGTTGTTGCAGTTGGGCAATAAATGGCGTCGCTACGTTAAGACAGAGCTGGCCCAGTCTCGTTAATGTTGCCGCTATTATAAACCGGAGGGCTACCAAAACAAGGGCAAAACAAAATCTGGATGAGAAAAATGATGTTATTGACTGCTGTTGATCTTAAATGCCTGGCTGAAGGGTAGCACAGTAGGTTCATGTATTTCGTTAGAGTAAAATTATAGCCTTAGGATATCTGTAAATTTGACAGTTTACTTATTCTGTGAAACAGCTAATTTTGAAAAGGTTAAAAATGATAGCTGCTGTGGAGTTGTAGTCCATTTCCAGCTGTTTCCATTTTCCAGAACCATCAAGATTGTTTTTCCCACCATTCCCACCGGTGCAGATCATCGTGCAGATGCAGGAGAGGATTACTCCCGCCACGCGGGGGCACTGTTGTCACTGTCTCGCGTTTATCATCTCCTGAAGCAACGTCATCACATTTTACCAAATGTTGTGGAACAGCGTGGAAAAGACTGTCAGCTGTCCAAGTAAGTAATATGAATAAAACGATTTCGAAACTATGATTTGTTTTTAGTCACGTGTCTGTTTAAGGTTGTAGGACAGGATGCAAATGGTTGCTAGCATAGCCTGTGATAAATGAGTAAAATGTTTGCATTCATTTAGACCCAAAATGAGGGAATCCGTTCTCCTGCTCACATCATGTGTAGTAGTTTGTCTCCTCCTGAGCTTCAGCCAGGCTGCCAGACAAGGACAGGACATCAGATGTGGAGGTATGTGTGTCCTCGTCCTCTATCAATCAGTCTCCGCTCAGTAGAGAGCTTTTCATGCATCTGCTGCTGCCTCCTCAGCCTGCAGGGCTCTGGTGGATGAGATGGAGTGGGCCATCTCCCAGATAGATCCCAAGAAAATGATCCAGACGGGATCCTTCAGGATTAATCCGGACGGGAGTCAGTCTATCAGAGAGGTGAGACAACCATGAGGTGTCCATGATCCCTCTTTGGATGGAGGCTGTGTCTCAGCATCAAAGGAAATCTTAGCAGCATTAGCAGGTTTTTAGTTTTTTTTTAAATAAACATTTTATTCATGTTTCAGAACATGCCCAGCTTCACCACATACAACTTTTAAAGTAAAACAACGAACAAATGTTGATACATTTTTTTAAATAAAAAATCGATGGTTGTTTGCATTTTCAACAAAGATGTTTGAGGATATTTGTTGAGAGTTTATTTTTAGAAGACCGATTTTTACACAGGTATAACTTTTGGTGGAAAATGTTCACAAATGTTAGCCTAGTGAACTAGACCAAATTCTTGCTTTGCAAAGTTTGGTCTAGGCATGCTCCATTGGAACCTCCGCAGCTCCTACCAGGACTCTGGCTAGCCAATCACAGCTATCTAGAGGGGTTTCAAACACATAAAGAGCTGTGATTGGTCCATAATGGTGGGCCAATCATAGTGCTCCATCTGCTTAGTGAACAAATCACAGAGCTTTATCCGCTTTGTGAGCCAAACAGGGCACTCTATATGCCTGGTGGGTGGGATGATGCAACAGAGTGAAACAAGAGTATGTCACATTCATTGTCCAGTGGAATGCGGAGATCATTTGAAAGACAACGGTAGAACCCGCCCCACAACCGAGAGCCATCAATGGAGCATGGCCAGACTAAATAATACATTTATTTAGTCTGGCTTGCCAGGCTATAAAAATGTGATTTAAGCAGCAACTTTTTGCTAACAGCAGAAAGCTTTTATAATCGGGATTGTGCCAATAGACTCGTGTGTGTTCTTCTGCCACCAGGTTCCTCTGGGAACCCAGCAGGTTGCATCAAGTCACTGACTAGTGTCAGTGACTTTACAGCAATCCTCATACTAAGCAAGCCTGCAGCGACAGTGGAGAGGAAAACTCCCTTTTAACAGGAAGAAGCCTCCAGAGGATCCTGGCTCAGTCTAAGCATCCATCCGCCACAACTCACTGGGGATCAAGAAGGCAGAGAAGATACACACACACACACACACACACACACGCAAACACGCACGCAAGCACACATGCACGCACACACACCGACTCACTCACACACACAGCCCTTTAGTCATTGGCTATCGGTACTTTGCACACACACACACACACATACACACACGCACGCACGCACGCACGCACGCACACACACACACACACACACGACCCACTCACACACCAACTCACTCACACACACACAGCCCCTTAGTCATTGGCTATCGGTACTTTGCCGTGCTGTGGGGGTGTGCTGTTATGGAGCTAGGATTGGGACAATATTCAATGTAACTTGTACCAAGTTTTGTAACTTGGAACATGTTTTATGACATGTAACTTTGGATTCGTAACTTGTGACTTTAGTTTTCTAATTTGTAATTCTCAATTTGTACTTGTATTTCTTGTTTTGTAACAGGAAAATTTCATTTTGTACATTTACTACTCATTTTGTAACATCAAACATTCATTCAGAAACATGAAACTTTTGGTTTTTACCTAGCAGACTTCCAAGATAAAAAAAATCAATGTACAAGTTTGAAATCAAAACTCTGAAAACACACATTTCATTCTACAGGTACAAACCTCAAATCTACAGTGTTACGAATCATTTTGTCTCAATTCTAGCGTCAGTGGGAGGAACTTGGGTGGAACCAATGAGAGCACCAGTCTTAGTTACCAATCACGTTTCCCGAATTCCTGTCCAATCATTGGGAGAGGAGGGCAGGGTTCTGTCAGAGCTGTAGAAAGAGAGTTACGACACTCTTTGAACTCGCCGACTTGCGGTCACGTGGTTCATGGAGCTCTCAGTTCCAAACATCCCAGCGCCGTAAGTCAGTTTGAACGGCGTATGGTGGGACAAATCACAAAAATTTAATAAAATCACATTTCCCCTGGCGATTTGTGGTAATTATTGAATAATATTATGTATTATATTATATATTATGTCCTAAGTCCTTCACAAAGTAGCCTATTTATATTTTTCTGAGCATGGGAAGACAAACACCCGTGACTGTTCTACAGGAATACGACAGTCCTAACACACTGTAGAACACATTTAGACCACATACATTACTATAATATACTATAGCAATAATTATGATGTAGTAATGCAACACACTGCTCTAATATAAGCATATTTAATAACTTTAAGTCCTACAAGAAGCCCTAAAGTCGAGTTGTAATATCCATTTTAAAGTGTGTATTGAAAGCTAGAATTCTGCTCCAGCTTACCTTGAAGAAAATATGTAGCTGTTTATGCTTTGAATGGTGATCTATTATGTTCAGTAGAAAACATTTTACAATCATTACTTTATATTTTTATGTGAAGACAGTACATGCATCTATAATCCAGTTTATCTGGCTTCTATAGCAACTAATTAAAAAGAAATTTTCAATAAAACTGTATGGTCAAACACAGTAGACAAAAAAGTGTTATTTGTGAAAAAATGAATACAAACTTGTACAACATGTATAATAGCATTTTTAATAAAGCATTTTACCAACATTATGTTAGGTCATTACATATGCGCAAATAAGCTGAATCAATGAGTTTGAGCAATGTACTCAAGACCTAATGAAACTCTTTTGAATAACTTTATTTTGATTATTATTAAAATAAAATGTTTCCGTGGGTTAAAATTTGAAATGACTAATTTTAGGATTGGATAAAATTTTAAAATGTAATTTTACATCACCACTTTTGGTTTAGTTCAATATTTCTATATGTACAAAAACTGTATTTTAATAACCCCTTTATAGGTTGATTATCTTACCATGGTTGGCTGCGCTGCATATAGCAATCGGTCTGAGGGAGGAATCAGAATTACGGCTTACCCAAAGACGCAGAGAGAAGAAGAAAATGGTTGGCTCAAGTCAGCAGGAGCAACCTCACCATGACCAGAGATCACCATAACAAAAAGCTGTGTGCAGTGAGTTTAACGTGCACTCTCACATGTTTTCTATCAAGGCTCTACATGTTTTGCTCTCAACTGCACAAGGCTGCAATTAAACTGTTAAATGTGGCAGGAAATAAACTAATACACCACTCTACAGGCACATTTTGAGGAGGGACAGTTTACTAAGCTTAGGCAAGGCAAGGTGAGACTCAGGGCTGATGCTGTTCCAACCCTGTTTGTTCATCACCCTGAACCAAGGAGGAGGAAGGATCCCGCAGTGAGAAGTACAGCAGAACCACTGCATGTTGATCCACTGACCAGTGACCACACATATTGTACTCAAGTAAACTGTGGTACAACACATTGTATTAATTTTATTTAAAAATGAATATTCTAACAGTGCCATTATAATGTCAGAGAATGAGGAACCAGCAGCAGCAGTGAGGCAAATGAGATGAGGGAAAGTGAGGGGGGACATGAGATGGTATCAGGAGAGAGGGACATCCCAGGAAGCCATGAGGAGCCGGCGTCAGGGCCAGGAGGAGAAAGGAACAGGCCATGCAAGCAGGGAACCCAGCTGGAAAACCTAAGGGAGGAAATAGAGTCAAAAAGGCATGAAAAACACATGAGGCATTAAATGGAGTAAACAGACAATCAAAAAGGCCGTACAACTCCGTTTTTCAGTGGGTTCAACAGGCTACAGGATTCTTCAGGACACGAGTATCCCTCTGCCTGATGCTAGAACCCTGCAAAGACAAATGCAGCCCATTAAACTGGAACCAGGTGTGTTAGGAGAGGTGTGTGACATGCTCAGTTTGAAGGTTAAAAATCTGACAGAGATGGAAAGAGAGTGTGTGCTTACTGTGGATGAGATGGCAATCACTGCAGGCGTGCATCACTCCATCACAGACCCAACTGGGTTTTACCACCGCCGTTGTTTCTGGTCAGCTCTCCGCTCAGCCACTATGAAAACATGAAGATGGACACACAACACAGTTTAACCTTTAATGGTTACATAAGATTTTTGTTTTAGTTACTCTTTGACATTTATTTATTGATAGTTGTGTTATTAATTCTTAATTCTTGCTGTTCCTTAATAACAAAATAGCAAATGCTAATATTACAAAGCAAGTGGAAATGAGCAGTTTTATGGAAAATGTCTCATTTTTAAAAGTTATTGTTTGACTACTGTTCTTGAATTGTCTTAATTCTATTCTTATTACTTGAGCCCACAAAACAGAACAACATATCTTCTTATGTTCGTAATCCTGTTTGTCTCATGCTTCAGCAGTTCGCTGCAGTCAGTGTTATTAACTGAAAAATATCTAATAATTACATGTCTTCACAATCACATTTTCTTTATTATTGGTCTCTCCATTTGTGCTTCCATTTCTGATGCATGTTCGTGTTGATACAGCAACCAGCAACGTATTGTACAAAAAATCCCAAATAAAACTAATAATGTAAAAAGTTTATAACCTATTTCAAACTGTGGGGAATATTTTTAAAACGTAGAATCAAACAAACTGAAATAAACCCGTCTACAGTTCGTCCTCCTGCTCACAATCAACAAGCTGCACACACTTAGCTCATTAAAGGTTATCTAGCTAAAACTGGCAACATAAAATATCATCGTTGGCTTATTTTGGTACAAAGCGGTTAGCTAACGCTTCACAATGCAACAAAATGATGACATTTCATCAACTTACCGAAGAAAATCCTTCCGAAACACCGAAAATGAACTACGGTCAATGCAGCAGCGGGGGCTTTTAGGAACTATTCGAAGCTACATGAACCACGTGACTCCCGCATTCCATTCTTTACCTAGGAGTCGACTGGAGTGTCATAACCATCGACATAAAAAGTTTGATTTTACAAAATAAAAAATACATGTACAAAATGAAATTTTCCTGTTACAAAACAAGAAATACAAGTACAAATTGAGAATTACATGTTAGAAAACTAAAGTTACAAGTTACGAATCCAAAGTTATATGTCAGGAAACATGTTCCAAGTTACAAAACTTGGTACAAGTTACATTGAATATTGTACCAATCCTAGCTCCATACTGTGGTGCAACATCGTCAGC